TGTGTGTGTGTGTGTGTGTGTGTGTGTGTGTGTGTGTCTGTGTTTGTGTGTGTGTGTGTCTACAATCTAACCCCCACTGTCCGGCAGTGTTATTATGGAAGAAAACTGCTTTTTATTACCCTTAAATTAAAGCAGGTTTAGTCCGGGAGTTAAAAGGTGTTAGCTCTATTGCAGCTCCAGTGACCCATTTCAGAATGCCTGGTAATTCACGACCACTCCGAGGTCACTTTTACTTACAATACAGATTGCATTTGATGTTTTTCTGAAAGTTTTTTTTTCCAGAACTTCCTTGAAATGAGGTCCTTAGAAATTATATTAAAATTCCACGAGCTTTTAAAATTATGCAGAGTCCAGATTCTTAAATATTTTCTGAAGTAGTATAGCTTTTAAGTGCAAAACTAGTTCAAATTTAAAATTTCTAAGAAATATGCATGTCAAAAAAAAACATTACAAGCCTCTGTATTCTTTTAATTTATTTGTTACTGAAGATTAATCCAATGTGTGAATGAAAATAACGAGAAAGTTTAAATGCTTGCATTTTAAAATTCATTCTTTTCTTTAAAATATCCTTAGTAAGAAAATTATTAAATTCTCTGAGCCTTCCAGGAAGTTTGAGGATTACCGGTTTTCCAGGTTTTTGCAGCTAGTAGACACTCTGACGAATACCGTGGGTTTGGCAATAAACTTTTAATTGAATCTTTCGCTTTCGTACATAAGTGTTTATGAGATACTTATTGAATAAGTCTAAAAATCAAACATTTATTTTCTCTTAGGTCACTTATTAGTCACTATTTTTACAACTATAAGTCAGTATTTGGTCACTTATTTCTTTAACATGGTCACAAAAATCACTATTTTTGACAGCTGTGATCGCTACCAGCCCTGCAATTTCTAGGCCCTTATTGTTAAGATCAATCAAGCGCTTTGGAATTGCGAGTACTGCATATAAATGGTTTGAAAGCTATTTGTCTGACAGAACTCAACGCACTGTTTTCAATGATTATGTTACTAGGCCCGTGGGGAATTTCCTTGGAGTGCTGCAGGAAAGTGTATTAGGACCCCTTTTTATCTATTATGTATATTAATGACTTGCGTATTATAAATTGCAGCCAAGGATTTTGATGATGCCGTTTTACACGTGAATGAAGATTTCCGATCTCTTAGTAGATGGTAGAAGTATAAGCAGTTGAGATTGAATACAAGTAAAACTAAATTCATGGTAATTTCGCGGAATCGAGTAAATGATGATGAGTAAAGTTCAACTCTCACATTGACAATGTCATCAAGAAACTTGCCAAGAAGTATGGGATTTTATGTCGCTTGAAAAACAATTTAACTACTGCCAGTAAAATACAGCTGAACAAATCAATCATTTCTCCTCATCTATACTTTTGCCCTTCCATTTTAAGATTGGCCAATGAAACACAAATATCGAGATTACAGCGCTTGCAGAAATAAATAATGCATTTGATTTTGAGATGTAATTGATTCACTTCTTCAACTTTGATGCTGGACGCCTAACAATGGTTGTCGGTGAAGCAAAGAAATATGTTTGTGTTCATTATGGTGTTCATTTTTAAAGTTAACGGTTTTTTCTTCTTTTTAGTCGCATGTCAAGCTTATTGCTCAGTGCATATGAGCAAAGACATCATATCAAGAAGACTGGTAACTGGCCAGAATCAAAGCGACAGATACAATAGCGCTGCGCTTGAGTGAAGGTGGAAGTAACGCATAGAAAAATGAGCAAATACAGCATTGGTGCTCAGCACGGAAAACAAGATCGATGAAAAAAAAAATAAAGGAAAAAAAAAGACTTTCATAGATATAAGGCTACAAGAATCGCGGTTGAAATTGGAACACCGAATTTGTTAAAACTTTCAAAGAAAATATGCAAGTTATACACTTAAGTTTTATAATACTTTCTAAAGAGTTAACGCATGACTCAGTAGCTGGGAACATGTTTTTTTTTTCCAAAAATGATTAGTTTTTTACGCATAAATCAAGAAACAAATCTAAGAGATTGATTTCATGTCCGCCGAAACAGTGTCGGAAAGAGAAATCTAGCCTTTTTTAAATTTAAATCAAAGTAAGGAATTGAAGGTGAATGACCATTCTTTGCAACATCACATGGGAAAGGTCATTGTTACACTATTGGAGGTACGATGATACGCATGGCTAGTAAAGTAAGTTCAGCCAAAGAACGTGAACATCCAATAAAAAATGCAATAGAGCTTTAAAATTGGGCAAATAATCGAAAAGAAGAAGAATTAACAACATTAGCATTTAGTTTTGCCACAACAGAGGAATACAAAAGTTTGGCTTCAGATCTTAACGAGCAATATAATAATGCAAAATTAATTCAAGAAAATCAAAAGATTCACTATTTCATGCCTGTTTCAAACTGTAATGATAATGATGCCAACATATTCGATGTATTTAGAAAAGTGGTGTGGGGCGACCCCGGCGTAGTGGTTAACATCCATACCTCTCACGCCAAAGTCACGGGTTCAAATCTCACCCCCGGACAAGTCACGAATGACTATAATAAAAAAAAAAAAAAAAAAAAAAAAAAAAAAAAAAAAAAAAAGTGGTGTAGCTATACATAGAAGTAAAGTGTATTTGCAATAATAATAAATTATGTACTATCTATCAATAAGGTTTCCAAATAAAAATAAGTTATAAAGAACTAAAACAGGTATTTTGTGGATCTTAGTTGAAATGCGAAAACGAGACATCATTTCCTATCTGTAATGTGTAAAAATTAAACGGCTTGTTTGACTGTTTTACTGTTAACAATTTCCAAATTTTGCCAGTAAGTAGTAAACATTATGTGTTTCAGTGCTACAAAAAATGTTTTTTTTTGTAAATTAGCAATTTAATTTCTCAAAATTGTTATAACTAATCTCAGTATTATCGTCAAAATAAACAAAAATTATCACAGTGAAACTTTTTAGCGGTGCCGGTGGCGTGATTACATCTCACCTCAGCAGGCCAGGGTTCAATCCCAGTCGGTGTCACCGGGATGTTCTGAGGCATAACATCTCTGATCACGTCTGAAGGGAAGTAAAGCCGTTGGTCCCCGGTTTATGAGTTGGGATGGGTCGATAGGTAGGGTCCAGGTGTGGGAGCTGCATCCCTGGCGTCGGTAGCATTAATGCTCAGCACGGAAAACAAGATCGACGGAAAACAAATCAAGGAAAAAAAGCAGTGAAAATTTGTGTACAGAATTGCTAAATTAATATCTACAACTTTGCTAAAGACATCATATCAATCGAACAAACAGTTTCGACAATAATTATATTTAGACTCATTAGTACTGTTTTACACAGGCCCTGTAGGAAAAATAGTCGTTACCCAATATGAAGAATTGATAACATTAAATTCCATTTTTCTAAAAAGGAACAACTGTACGAAATTTCAGCTTTATTAGAAATGATCGTTCAGGATCGATTTCCGAGCCTTCGTGCCGTAAAAATTTCAAGTTAAAATAAATAGTTTTCCGTAGACTTCCAGTAATCTGACCGTTTATAGTTTGAACCCCACGGCGTGCACTCTACAAAATTGCTCAAACTTCATTTAGCACATGAAATGGACTAAATCAAAATGGAACGATGCAAAAGGGAATGCATAATCAAAGCAAAATGGAAAATAAGACTACCAGAAATATGCTTTTATGATGCTCATAGCAGTGCTGAGATTTGTCATTGTCATTGACATAATTACACGTGATATTGACAAAATTGTTCATCACATAGTCACTGACAGACTTGATCCTCAAAAAAAAAACCTTTGTCAAAATCTCATTAATTTTTTCGTCAATTACAGAGACTCACATGGTAACAAAAAGTGTAATTTCATGCATTCTATGTCACATTGTTGTTATCCAAGCAGTTCAAGGCGATGATGCTTTTTCACTTTAACGGGTCCATGTAATTGTTTTGCTCAAGTCATTTAATTTCGTTTTAAATTTAGCTAATAAAAAACTGCAGATGTTCATCACTGACAGCCTTGGTGTTTTTTTCCGGAGGTAAAAATACCATTTGCACTCAGTATTATTTAATAATAATAGGCTGATGTTATTTAGTTTGATTGAAAATTAAATACTGGATTTCGAAAAGCTGATAGAACGCTCTTCAAGCAAGTTACTGATCGCTAAATAAAGATTAGGTACTAAATACATAAACAGGTTTTCCTTAGATCAGGCAGCTAGCAATTGGAAAAAAAATAATACCAGCTAAAACTCAAAAATATAACCTCATGAAATCTGCAAACAACTGAACGGAACCGGAGAACGAGTGCTGACAAACACGTCTGCACTAGCGTTCCTGAGTGATGAAAAACACAATACTGCCTGTCAGATGGTAGCAGGGCCCATACAAATACCATCCAGTACCAGCACACATTGCCATTCAGTCATTCGTTCCTGCCTCGCAGACCCCAATCCGATGGTTCGTTGTTCCGAAACGAATGGAAGAAACCACTTTCGAGTCTGGTCGAACAACCAGCCAGCCACACCATAATGAAATCCACGTCTACATAAAACACATGAAAATTATGTGTAATATTTATGCTACCGTGTATGCTCCTGCGTAATAAATAAAAGTAAGGGAAAAATATTGCTCCTACACGTAATCTACAACCCCTTATGTTTTATGTATCATTCCAAGGAGAGAAGCGAGTGAATGTGACTTGCTCTCAAGTGGGGGAGTTATTGCACCCTGCTTTACTGGCGTTCTCCGAATAGAACCAAAACACTTACTTCACTGGAAACAGCAATTGCAATTCTCACTGAGCAAAATGTTGGCGCACCATTCATCAACACTGTATGATTGTGGTTGGTCGGTTGGCACTTTTGATGTCGATACAGATATGAACAGTTTGTCTTCTGGTGTGATTATCATGTTGCACAATATCCGAAGGAAACACCACAACCACCACATGGACCAACTGCGTAATACTTGAGCAAGAAAAACTATGCACACTAATAAAAACTCTATTATTTATTTATTGGGATAGCATTGATCCCTGTAATCGACAGCCACACACGGTTTAGCGCACACAGCTGCTCCAGCCCGGTGACCGATACTAACTCCACCAAACAGTCCTGCTACTCCGCCGACGACAGCTCCGATTACGGTTCCAGGTCCAGTGAAAATGCTGCCAATGCCAGCTCCCACGAAGGCACCCGTCAGAGCACCTCCTCCTACGACTCCTCCCACCGAAGCCATCATGCATGGATCGGGATTCTCCCGCCCGGTGAGCCAGCTCCAGAATGATGAACCTACGATTTGGAAAGTTGTTCACAAAATAGAGGAACAAATTCTATCCAGACGCTTACTCGAATCACCATTAGCGGTATCACGCTTCACTTTCACCGCGGCACCCTTTTTCGGTGATTGTACAGGTAATTGTTCGTCATCCTTAAGCGCTGTCACAACCGGTGGATGTTGTCCCGGAACGAGCTCTTCCGAATCTGTCCAACTGCTGCCAGCTTCAATCCTGACCGTGAAACACAATCCCACCGTGGTCAGGAGCAGCACCAGAATGAGCCTCCAAAAGACGTACATGCTCCTCAAATACACCAGCTTTTGACTCTAGCCGATCTTCAACTGAGATAAATTAGATACAATTGTCGCGCGAAAACAGAGGATGAGCAGTCAAGTCGTGCTCGGTTGCGAGAATGAGATAGAAATGGGTTGTTGACTCGTTGGTGCACATGTACCTACCCACCTACTAGCCGACAAATGTTTAAATCTGGTGATCTGGGACGGGCAAGTAAGTGGATTAGCGGATTACATCACGACGAGGGTAGAATAGCATTTTGTCCGGTTGTGCGTCAATTTGTAAATGTACACCCATCTGTCCATTCAGAGCAGATATGCTGAGAGATACTTCCGGAGCAAATGCTAAAATGGGCTCATTTATGATATAAACACATCAACTGCCAATCGCTTGTGCGACCAAGGGCGTGAACAATTGATGCATTTTGTGTCGTGAGAGATCAATGATCAAATTCGTTGCAAAGAAAATCAGTTCAGCCCATTTCATCATTTGTTCCAGACTGATGATTGTAAGGTATTTAGCTTCTGTTGGTTTGTGATAATAAACTGTTTGTTGGACAAGATTGAGTTGTTCATTTCACTTGAGTGTGTCAATCTGTTTCAAATTGTTCCAATTGTTTGTAATTTATGAATCGATAATTTAGTAGCAATAATTGCATCGGTGCATTTCAACGGTCGGATGAAAATAGTGTGAGCACAGTGCTATTAATTTATGTTTCTTTCATTTTAGTATAAACCAGTTTATAACAATGATGATCACAGTTTTTGTCCTGACCAAGTTTCAGGAGATGTGAAAATGTACTTCACTCCATATACTTCACGATGAAACTTTGAGCCCTCTTCTTTTTTTGGAGGGTTCATCTATTCGCTAGCAGTGGCTAATATATTCCATCATGTCTGCCTTTGCATTGATACTTTGAAATGGTTTGATTTTAGGTGCCCTTATTTTAGAATAATAATTTCATACTACATCCAGGCGCGTAGTGAGGAGGTGACGAAAGTAGCCCCCGCCAGTGGCACCGAGCTACAGGGGTGCCGAAATACAAGTTTTTATTTCGACAAACCTTTACACGAAGCTTTTTTTCCCCAGATATACATACAAAACAAGCTTGTCAACATAATGGGTACGTCTTGCGAAAAGTGAAACGATCAAATATTTTTCAATTATTTCTATTATTATACTCCCGACCAAGCACATACGGAACAAATGAGCCTGATAATTCATTTGCTGGATTTATCCGAAGCAGTGTTGGGAAAATATCAAAAATTAAAATCTCACCAAAGAACAAGATCACGCTTGATTTTCGTAGACAAAAATCAGACAGCTGTGATATCGCTGCTCGGAATATTAAGCAAACAAAAGTCACCAGCTGCAGATCTCGTCAAACTGTGATGCGATGGAGTTTCATCATTTTTGCTTTACACCCGAACGCAACCGAAACTTCCATAAGAAAAACGAGAAAGCAGTATTATAGTATACCTTCTCTTTCTTAGAAAACGAGGTGCAAAGGAATCAGTTTTGCGTCCATTCAACTCTCAGCTTCAACTTTACACGTTGTAAATAGCCTCGCAATAGCGGCGCCGGTGGTGTAGTGGTAATCGTGATTGCCTCTCACCCCAAAAGGCCTGGGTTCAATCCCAATCGGCGCTGCCGGGATTTTCTGAGGCATTACATCTCTTATCACGCCTTCCTTCGTTCGGAAGGGAAGTAAAGTCGTTGGTCCTCGATTCATTAGTTGATGGGTTGATAGGTGTGAGAGCTGCCTTCCTGGCGTCGGTCGCATTGGTACTCAGTACAGAAAACAAGATCGACGGAAAACACACCAACGATTTTTTTTTTTCGCAAGATCAAAGGAGTTTGTAAAATCAACATTGTAACCAACGGGTTACAACTCGTTCTTGGATAGTCCGAAGCTAAATGATTTGTTTGTATTCAAAACTTTCAATCAACATTCCATCTTTACCAAAATGAGTCCCATGGTTGTTCATCCATTGCGAGTAAAGGCGCTGTCAGGCGTTAGGGCGCGTTTCCAATCGCTAGAAACGTAGATTTGTTAGAAATGGGTGAGAAGCTATGGAAGGGGAGTGATCTCACTAGGAAATAGGTGCAGTAAAAATAACACATAAATAAAACCAGGGCACAACCTCTCTATGATAAACATTGTTTTTTCCTAAAATGACATTGACATTATTGAAATAGTATTAAAACCCAACATAAATTAAATGAATTGATAAATATACAAGATAGCGGTGTATGCTACAGCTAAACGTCTTTTAATTTCTGTTAATAGCTAGGATACTAATCGAAGACGCGACTAGACTACTTCCAAACAAGAACTATACAAAAAGCCTTAGATAGGGAAGTCTAGTTTTAAACAAATCCTGCTAAATCTCGGGAGCCCGAATGGCGTTATCATCTGCACGAAACTGGCGTCTACAACATGTCACTGAAGTTATCCAGTACCATACCATCCAGCATGTACTAATTTGTAGTACAGGAAGCCATCCAGTACCATACCATCCAGAATGCATCATAAATCAACTATTGCATACTTCACGGCGTAAATGGAGCAATTGTACTAAATTAACTTTTAAATCAAAATTTACAACCATTAATGATATTACATATAATTTAACAATGTATGGTGGGAAAACCAGTGACAAACCATTCCAGTTCTTCACCTAGAATATTCTAGAATATCTGAACAAGACATTTAAACATTAAGACATCTTGGCTAATTGTTTTTAAATAGTTTGATTGATTTTTTTACTTCAAAAAGGAGTTCTTCAAAGAAATTTGAAATTTTTTCTACAAATACTTGCTGGATAGGAATACTGAGTCGAATATAAGTAAAGTGATTTATTCAGAGTATTCAGTAATATCTTAAGAAGACATGTGCATACTTAAACATCATGGCTAATTGTATTGAAATTGTCTGATTGATTAATTTTTACTTCAAAGAGGAGTTCTTCAAAGAAATTTGAAAATTTTTCTACAAATACTTGCTGGATGGGAATACTGAGTCAAATATAAGTAAAGTGATCTATTCAGAATATTCAGCAATATCTTAAGAAGACATTTGCATACTTAAACATCATGGCTAATTGTTTTGAAATTGTCTGATTGATTTATTTTTACTTCAAATAGTCTTCTTAAGATATTGCTGAATATTCTGAATAAATCACTTTACTTATATTTGACTCAGTATTCCCATCCAGCAAGTATTTGTAGAAAAATTTTCAAATTTCTTTGAAGAACTCCTCTTTGAAGTAAAAATTAATCAATCAGACAATTTCAATACAATTAGCCATGATGTTTAAGTATGCACATGTCTTCTTAAGATATTACTGAATACTCTGAATAAATCACTTTACTTATATTCGACTCATGAACCGGGGACCAACGGCTTTACTTCCCTTCCGAAGGAAGACGTGATCAGAGATGTTATGCCTCAGAACATCCCGGCGGCGCCGACTGGGATTGAACCCAAGCCTGCTGGGGTGAGAGGTAATCACGCTTACCAATACACCACCGGCGCCGCTTTCACTATCAATCTCTCCTTCGTGATTTTCCCGCTATTGTGGTCGATATACTGATCGCCAGTCCGGCTGGATCCTCCGACCTCGACGGCACCAACGGCCGCAACGCAGCATGCTAGCCATTTCCGGAAAACCGTAGTATCGTCAACGTGCTATCTAGTTTAGATTGGGAGATCATCCTAGATCCTGATAATGTTGAAACCGCTGCGCAAACATTTTCACATGTCTTGGCTTATGTCATTGACAGGCACGTTCCGAAAAGAGTTCACCGTAAAATTTCTCATCCTCCCTGGCAGACGAGTGAACTGCGTAGGTTGAAGTCGACCAAGAGAGCCGCATTAAGAAAATTCCCTAAGTATCGTACGCTTTCGCTGAAACGTCACTACGTTAGGCTCAATTATGAGTTCAAGCGAGTTAGCCGTCGATGCTATTCGCGATATCAACGAGGGATTCAGAGGAAACTCAAGTCGCACCCGAAGTCATTCTGGAATTACGTAAATGAGCAGCGCAAGGAATCCGGCCTACCTTCTTCAATGGTGTTGAATGGAGCAGTTGCTTCCACTCCTCAGCAGATCTGTCGCTTGTTTTCTGAGAAGTTCGCCAGTGTTTTCACGAATGAGAGATTAACTGACGAACACGTTACCCTAGCAGCTAGTAATGTTCCACTGTACGGTCAAACACTGGGTGCGATGGATGTCAACGTCGAGATGATTTCCACTGCCGCATCACAACTCAAGTCGTCCTTCAATCCAGGACCCGATGGCGTTCCATCCGTATGCCTGAAAAAGCATATCGCCAGCTTGCTGATGCCCATGCTTCACCTATTTCGATTGTCCATCTCGAGTGGTACATTTCCATCTTGTTGGAAATTCGCACATATGTTTCCTATCCACAAAAAGGGCAGCAAACGGGATGTGGGCAATTATCGTGGAATTACGTCGTTGAGCGCAGTTTCGAAGTTATTCGAGTTAGTCATCATGGAGCCTCTACTCTCTCATTGTAAGCAGTATCTAAGTGATGATCAACACGGCTTCACTTCCGGTCGTTCTACTTCCACAAATCTGCTGTGTTTGACATCGTATCTTACGGAAAGCATGGCAGAGAGGACTCAAACAGACGTCATATACACCGACTTGTCAGCTGCCTTCGATAAGCTAAACCATGCCATCGCGATTGCCAAGTTGCATAGACTTGGGATCAGCGGCAACCTCTTGCGATGGTTTCGTTCATATCTCACTGATCGGCAACTGATGGTTGCAATTGGTGACAACCGGTCCAATATATATCTAGCTACGTCAGGAATACCTCAAGGAAGTCACCTGGGACCTTTGATTTTCTTACTCTACTTCAATGACGTGAACTTGGTCATCGAAGGCCCACGTCTATCGTATGCAGACGATCTTAAAATCTACCTACGAATCCACTCGATTGATGACTGTCACTTCCTTCAACGTCAGTTCGAAGCCTTTGCCAGCTGGTGTAATTTGAACCGAATGGTGGTTAACCCCACTAAGTGTTCAGTGATCACTTTTACTCGGAAGAAAGAACCAATCACATTTGAATACAAACTTATCGGCACTGTAATCGACCGTGTGAACCATGT